ACTACTACTACTACTACTACTACTACTACTACTACTACTACTACTACTACTACTACCACTACCACTACCAACACCACTAACACTGGTACTACTACTCCTGCCTCTTGGGGCCTCCTGGGCCCCCTTGGGGTGTCCTGTCAGACCGTCGGGCTTCCTCCGGCCACCTCTGGCTTCCTGCGGTGTACCGGGCCATTCTCGACTCGTCTGGCAATGCGTGCGCGGCATTCAACACGCGCTCGCCAGTTCCCGTCGGCAACCGCCATCGCGGCCGCATCAGCTGTACCAAACCGGCTGGCCCGGTGTGACTTCGGCCCCCAGTTGTGCCAGCTTTGCTTCTTATGTTGTGGGAGGGCGGGTGGGACTGGGCATGCCATGCTTGACTCGCTCGAGCTGGCTAGCTTGACCCCTACTCCTTCTCCTACTCCGACTCCTATCCTTATTCCTTATTAGAATATACTCCTACTCCCCCCTCAGGCCGGCAGATAGCGGGCGCATCCGGGTGGTCCCATCCTAACCTGTAAAAAACAATACAATATCAACATGTTTCTTATTTTTTCCTCTCGACATGGACGTCCTGTCGCCCACGGCGATAATCCATTGCAAAAAATAACACAATGAGCACACGCGCGCGTTCATGTCAGAATCCTACCGAACACCGTGTGTTCGCAAGCATTTCAACATAAAAACATCAAAAACGACGGCGAGTGAACATGATGATGAATAATGACCCAATGTTTCTTCACAGTAAAACAATATGTACACAATTTCCGCCCGTGCTCTCTTGCTGAAATCATAGGAAAACCATAGGAATCTTAAGAATTCGGTCAAATCCAGCGATTTCACGTCATCGCGCGGTGCACTCGCGATGCTCTGTCCTGCACCCAGGCCGCGAATCCTGTGCAAAAAATACCACAAAGAGCACACTCGCGCGTTCATGTCAGAATCCTACCGAACACCGTGTGTTTGCAAGCATTTCAACATAAAAACATCAAAAGCCCAATGCTTTTTCACAAAAATGCTTTGGGGTGTCCTGTCAGACCGTCGGGCTTCCTCCGGCCACCTCTGGCTTCCTGCGGTGTACCGGGCCATTCTCTACTCGTCTGGCAATGCGTGCGCGGCATTCAACACGCGCTCGCCAGTTCCCGTCGCAAACCCGTCCATCCGCGTGCGCGGCTGGCCGCATCAGCATCCTTGCCTGACCGTGCTGGCGCGGATGTGACTTCGGTGCCCCCAGTGTGTGCCATCTTTGGCTTCTTATGTTGATTGGGAGGGCGGGTGGGACTGTGGGCATGCCATGCTTGACTCGCTCGAGCTGGCTAGCTTGACTCCTACTCCTACTCCTACTCCTACTCCTACTCCTGCTCCTGCTCCTACTCCTACTTCTCCTCCTTCTCCTCCTCCTCCTCATCCTCCTCATCCCCGCCCTTGTCCTTGCCCTCATTGTCTTCCTTTTCCTTGTCATCCTCTTCCTCGTCGTCGTGGTTGTCGTGGTCATGGTCGCCATCGTCGGCGCCGCCGCCACTGGCGTCGTCGTCGTCGTCGCGGTCGTCTTCTTCTTCTTCTTCCTCCTCCTCCTCCTCCTCCTCCTCCTCCTCCTCATAATCCTCCCTCCCTCCCTCCCTCCCTCCCTCCCTCCCTCCCTCCCTCGCCCCCACGCGAGCCCCAGGGATGGCCCGAAGAGGCCCTCCAAGGCCACCCCCCTGCTCCAGAGATCTCTCTGTTCACCAGTGTTGCCCGCTCTGTTCAACTATGTGTGTGTGTGTGTCTTTCTTCGTTCTTTTCCGATCAGCTCTCCTAGACAACTTCTCTGATGAAAGTACTGGTGGGGTTGCGCGAAGCGTGAAGAATTCGTCCCACTGGGTTCTGAAAAACCACAGACCCTCGGAGAACAAACAGCCATGACTCGAATCGTGGGAAGCCCACACGCCCTCGCTGAGTGCTCATTTGTTCGAGGGTCTACGAGCGTCCCGTCACTCGGGGCAGCGAGCTCCGGGGAGCACCCGAACGTCGGCCCTCCGGGGACCTCGGGGCGCGGACTCCGAAGCCCCCCGGAGCCTCCACGAGCTCCGGCTGCCCGAACACCGCTCCCACGAGTGATGGGTCCTCCCGGGGCCCTCGAAGGATGGGCACCCAGCGAGGCCGTGCCCCAGGGCCCGAACATCGCTCCCACGAGTGGTGGGAGATCCCGAGGCCCTCGAAGGATATCGGAGGATTGGCACCCAGCGAGGCCGCGCCCTCGAGTGCGAGCGGGAGGCACGGGGGGCCCCCGCCGAGTGCCAGCCGTCCGAGGGCCCTCGGGTTTGCCCACACTTCGGGGGAGCGGAGGGCGGAGGCCGGGGCCTCGAGCCTCGGGGGTGGGGGGGGGGGGGGCGATGTGTGCTTCGTTTGGCTTGTTGCTTCTTTCTCTCTCTCTCTCTCTCTCTCGCTGTTCCTCCAGCGATTCCCCGCGGTGTCCACACTGGGTGGAGGGACACAAAATCCAGCGGCCTGGGGACAGCGGCGCCCTCAGGGGCAGAAGGCGGCGGTGGCTCGCCGCAAGCCTGTTGGGCCTTGGTTGCCCTGCCGCGGGTCCTCCGCCACCTGCATGCCGACCACTGGCATGTCGTCCGGTTGGGTCACAGCCTCGGCAAGGGACAACGGAGGGCCCACGCAATGCTCCGAGCCCAATTCGACGAACTGCGATACGCGGGGAAGGAGGCGGACGGCTTCCTGCTAGTTCACCAGACGGAAGAGGAGGAGGAGAAGGAGTGGGAGGAGGGGGAGGGGGAGGAGACAAGCCAGGTGCGCTCGCGTCATATCTGACATCCTACCCCCCCCTCCCATCCCTTACCATGGCGCAGATCCCCTCTCTACTCGCACAGTCGGATGTCAAGCAGGGCGATGATCCCGAAAGGGTACGCGATGCATTGTAGAGCACGGCATGGCATGGCGTAGAAGAGCACCGCGAAGCGTAGTATCAACCTAGCATTGCATTGCATGCCGTGGCATGGCACGGGAAATGACGCCAGCGCTGCAACGGGAGCACGAGTCGAAACGAGCGGAAGCGCGGAAATGAGGCCAGCGCTGCAGCGGGAGCACGATTCGTAACGAGCGGAAGCACGGAAATGAAGCCAGCGCTGCAGCGAGAGCACGATTCGGAACGAGCGGGGCCCGAAAATGAGGCTGGCGCCTCAGCGAGAGCAGCATTTTGGGAAAAATTGCAAGCGAGAACCAAACTCCGGGGAAGGCTTCCCGGGCGCCAGAAGCAGACATTACCTAACAGCGAAGACTGATAGGTTTCTAATAGGGTCAAAAGAGAGCATCATGACGCCCCAGGGGGGTCTGGGCGCGATCCGGGGGAGGGTGCCGGGAGCTTTATTTTAGCCAACAGTTAAACACTTCGTGGTCTTCGAATTCCCAGAACTCCACTCCTGGGCCACATTCTGAATGCCCGGAGCCAACTGTAGGCCACTTCGTGGTCTTCGAGTTCCCAGAACTCCATTCCCGGGCCACATTTTGAATGCCCGGAGCCAACTGTAGGCCACTTCGTGGTCTTCGAGTTCCCAGAACTTCATTCCTGGGCATGATTTTGAATGCCCGGAGCCAACTGTAGGCCACTTCGTGGTCTTCGAGTTCCCAGAACTCAATTCCTGGGCATGATTTTGAATGCCCGGAGCCAACTGTAGGCCACTTCGTGTTCTTCGAGTTCCCAGAACTCCATTCCCGGGCCACATTTTGAATGCTGATGCAGGCTGATGCTGAGGCTGAGGCAGGCTGAGGCTGAGGCAGGCTGAGGCTGAGGCCGAGGCTGAAGGCAGACTGAGGCTGAGGCTGAAGCAGGCTCAGGCTGAGGCTGAGGCTGAGGCAGGCTGAGGCTGAGGCTGAGGCAGGCTGATGCTGAGGCAGGCTGAGGCTGAGGCTGAGGCTGATGCAGGCTGAGGCTGAGGCACGCTGAGGATGAGGCCGAGGCTGAAGGCAGACTGAGGCTGAGGCTGAAGCAGGCTGAGGCTGAGGCTGAGGCTGAGGCTGAGGCAGGCTGAGGCTGAGGCTGAGGCAGGCTGATGCTGAGGCAGGCTGAGGCTGAGGCTGAGGCTGAGGCAGGCTCAGGCTGAGGCAGGCTCAGGCTGAGGCCGAGGCTGCAGGCAGACTGAGGCTGAGGCTGAAGCAGGCTGAGGCTGAGGCTGAGGCAGGCTGAGGCTGAGGCTGAGGCAGGCTGAGGCTGAGGCAGGCTGAGGCTTAGGCTGAGGCTGATGCAGGCTGAGGCTGAGGCAGGCTGAGGCTGAGGCCGAGGCTGAAGGCAGACTGAGGCTGAGGCTGAAGCAGACTGAGGCTGAGGCTGAGGCAGGCTGAGGCTGAGGCTGAGGCAGGCTGATGCTGAGGCAGTCTGAGGCTGAGGCTGAGGCTGATGCAGGCTGAGGCTGAGGCAGGCTGATGCTGAGGCCGAGGCTGAAGGCAGACTGAGGCTGAGGCTGAAGCAGGCTGAGGCTGAGGCTGAGGCAGGCTGAGGCTGAGGCAGGCTGAGGCTGAGGCTCAGGCTGATGCAGGCTGAGGCTAAGGCAGGCTGAGGCTGAGGCCGAGGCTGAAGGCAGACTGAGGCTGAGGCTGAAGCAGGCTGAGGCTGAGGCTGAGGCAGGCTGAGGCTGAGGCAGGCTGAGGCTGAGGCTGAGGCAGGCTGAGGCTGAGGCTGAGAGCCTAAGATGCAACGGCTGAGGCTGCGGCGGCTTAAGCTAGGCTGAGGCCTGAAGGCAGACTGAGCTGCGGCTGAAGCATGCTGGGGTGAGGCAGAGGCAGGTGAGGCTGAGGCTGATGCAGGCTGAGGCTGAGGCAGGCTGAGGCTGAGGCAGGCTGAGGCTGAGGCTGAGGCTGAGGCAGGCTCAGGCTGAGGCATGCTGAGGCTGAGGCCGAGGCTGCAGGCAGACTGAGGCTGAGGCTGAAGCAGGCTGAGGCTGAGGCTGAGGCAGGCTGAGGCTGAGGCTGAGGCAGGCTGATGTTGAGGCAGGCTGAGGCTGAGGCTAAGGCTGATGCAGGCTGAGGCTGAGGCAGGCTGAGGCTGAGGCCGAGGCTGAAGGCAGACTGAGGCTGAGGCTGAAGCAGACTGAGGCTGAGGCTGAGGCAGGCTGAGGATGAGGCTGAGGCAGGCTGATGCTGAGGCAGGCTGAGGCTGAGGCTGAGGCTGAGGCTGAGGCTGAGGCTGATGCAGGGTGAGGCTGAGGCAGGCTGAGGCTGAGGCCGAGGCTGAAGGCAGACTGATGTTGAGGCTGAAACAGGCTGAGGCTGAGGCTGAGGCAGGCTGAGGCTGAGGCAGGCTGAGGCTGAGGCTGAGGCAGGCTGAGGCTGAAGCTGTGACTGCGACTGCCGTTGCCGCTGCGACTGCCATCGCGAATGCGACTACGACTGCGAGAACAGCAGAATTCTACAACAGGATTCTCATCTGAATCTCAAGGGGAATATGCTTCCAGATATGCTCCTACACATCGCTGTTAGGTTGCTTCGCCAGGATAATTCAGCATTTTCAAAAGAAAAATGTTTATTAGAATGGCCTTTTTTCGGCGTCGCCTCGGAACTTGATTTTCTGGCGCCGGCCGGAACCGGCTCCGGACCCGGCCCAGGCGCTGGCCCGGGCGCCGGCTCGGGCGTCCGGCCCGGGCGCAGGCTCGGGCGCCGGCCTGGGCGTCGGAATCGGCCGGGGAGGCCTCCCGGGCGCCGGAAGCAGAAATTCAGCATTTTCAAAAGAAAAATGTGTATTAGAATGGCCTTTTTTCGGCGCCGCCTCGGAACTCGATTTTTCGGCGCCGGCTGGAACCAGCTCCGGACCCGGCCCGAGCGCCGGCCCGGGCGCCGGCTCGGGCGTGCAGCCCGTGCGCCAGCGGAAATGATGCCAGCGCTGCAGCGGGAGCACGATTCGGAACGAGCGGGGCCCGAAAATGATGCCGGCGCCTCAGCGAGAGCAGCATTTTGAAAAAACATGCAAGCGAAAACCCAACTCCGGGGAAACCTGTGTGTAAAAAAACAGTACGCGGGGGGGGGGAGGGCGAATATTCCCAAGACTTCATCAGGGGAAGAGGGAGAGTAGGGAGGAGGAACAGGAAGGCGGGGGCGAGAAAGTCCTCCCC